CCTTCAAACAACCGTGATGAAATGGACGTCATGGTATGTATTATTTATAGTAGTGTTTGTAACTCCCCTCCCTTAGGACCTATCATAGATGCAGACTCTAGTTCCTGAAGTTGAAGTAAAATGGGTTGTCGATTTAGGGCCACACGATTTTCAATTTATGCTTGCGGATTGCATTCCTTATATTGCCAAATTGACGACCTTAATATGTCATTGCCATGCTCATGATGATACTCAAACATTGAGGAATGCATAACTTAATGCCAAATTGGATCAAGCGAGATCAAAAGCTTAAAAGAATATTGAGACTCTTCTTAAGGTTCATGTTAAGCTGGATGAAGTTAATAAGAAACCAATGAATCTTGATGAGGAACTTCGTCTTTATCACAGAAGTTTGAAAACAATTGTTTAAAATTATTGGACGATAGAGAAGTTTTCAAGGATCATATCTAATTATTAATTGAAGAGAGAAATGAGACTAAGGTTCTCGTGGCCATTAGAAATAAAGAGAAGAAGATCATGTAGGTACAACTTTTGGATTCATATGATAGTTATTCTTCCCTCAAGCGTCAAAATGAACTCTTAAAAAGGCATTCTTGTCAGTTTAGATTTGAATGACCAAACGAGGAGGTTGTGTAATTTGTTTCGAAAATTATGAAGTAAGCAAGATGAGGAACTTTGTCTTTATCACGGAAGTTTGAAAATGGTTGCTTAAAATTATTGGACGATAGAGAAGTTTTCAAGGATCATATCTAATTATTAAATGAAGAGAGAAATGAGACTAAGGTTCTCGTGGCCATTAGAAATAAAGAGAAGAAGATCATGAAGGTACAAGTTTTGGATTCATAAGATACGTATTCTTCCCTCAAGCGTCAAAATGAACTCTTAAAAAGGCATTCTTGTCAGTTTAGATTTGAAGGACCAAAAGAGGAGGTTGTGTAATTTGTTTTGGAAATTATGGAGTAAGCGTGATGAGGAAATTCGTCTTTATCACGTAAGTTTGAAAATAGTTGTTTAAAATTATTGGACGATAGAGAAGTTTTCAAGGATCATATCTAATTATTAAATGAAGAAATAAATGAGACTAAGGTTCTTGTGGCCATTAGAAATAAAGAGAAGAAGATCACGAAGGTACAACTTTTGTATTCATAAGATATGTATTCTTCCCTCAAGCGTAAAAATGAACTCTTAAAAAGGCATTCTTGTCAGTTTAGATTTGAAGGACCAAAAGAGGAAGTTGTGTAATTTGTTTTAAAAATTATGGAGTTAAAAAGGGTTCATCGAGAGAATTATCTTTGAAATGAAATAATAGTATATGAATTGAGCTCTGAGATAAGCCAACTTAGACGAATGTGCTATGAGTACGAGGTGAGGGATACCTGTGTTGGCGTTTATGGCTTTGATAAATGTTATTGCTTAAATTCGGGTTTTAAACCCTAACATTGCCCTGGATATTGCTGGGGTATGAGGAGTTTATCACTAGGGAGCATTGAACATTGGGTCAAGAACAACACAAGTGAGAGAGACACAACATATTCACCCAAAACCTTAAGGTGATATGTGTATGGACTCTCCCACTTATAAATGCTAAATTCTCCACAATTATAACCAATATGGGAGTTCAACTCACACTTGTTATGTTATTCTCAATACTCCCCCTCAAGTATGAGTCGACAATGCTCCCCCTCAAGTAGAAACTCTTGCCCACATATACTTGTATCGTCGTTGATACCTATTACTAGGCACCTCTCTAGGCATTTTGATACACCTCTTTCTGGACATTCGATTTCAACAGGACACCTCTTCTTGCGCATTTCAATACAAGTAAGTCGGTCCCTTTACTCGAACCAAAGGATCATGATACCATTTATTGGGGTCATAAGGAGGAGCATTAATATTGGGTCAAGAGCAACATAAGTGAGAGAGACACCACATATTCATCCAAAACCTTAAGGTGATGGGTATATGGGTTCTCCCACTTATAAATGTTCAACTCACCACAATTATAACCAATGAGGGACTCCAACTCACACTTACTATATTATTCTCAACACCCCTCTTTCAAGTGTGAGTTCACAATGCTCCCACTCAAGTGGAAACTCTTGACCACATATATTTATACCGTCCACTACTAGAAAACTTCTTTAGCTGCGAATTTAGCCTCGGCCACCGACACCGAGGCTAACTAGCCTCGACAAAATCGAGGCTACTTAAACGCAAAATAAGCCATTTAAAAGTTTTTCTTTTACAATTATTTTTATTTAACACATTAGACACGGGTAGGCCGAGGCTAGATATTTTTGAATTTTTGAATTTTTTTTTAATTGTTAGACACGGATGAACCGAGGCTAACTATTTTTAGCTGCGAATTTAGCATCGGCTACTGACACCGAGGCTAACTAGCCTTGACAAAACCGAGGCTATTTAAACGCAAAAAATGCCATCTTAAAGTTTTTCTTTTTCAATTATTTTTATTTAATTCATTAGACATCACTAGGCCGAGGCTAGAGATTTTTTAATTTTTAAATTATTTTTTTAAAATATTAGACACGGATTAGCCGAGGCTAACTATTTTTATTTTTTTGAATATATTTATTTTATCTAATAGACACGGATGAGCCGAGGCTAACTATTTCCCACTCTTGTTTTTCATGTTCCCCTCTTAAGATGAATTTAGGAAAGGAGAAAAAGGAAAAGAAAATTAAAAGCGCTTGTAATCATCATCATCATCTTTGTCGATCTAATTTCTCCGCCTCTCATTTGCTCACTTCCAGATTTGGATTTGTTCAGGTTCGAATCGTTCTCGATTTTGTTCTCATTTTTTTTACTCAATCTCCCCATCTCTTTGTTTGGTTTGATTCTCAATCTTCTATCCCTTCCGTCTTGTTCTGGGTTTTGGAAATGTTTTAGTTTATCACTATTTTTGGCTGGATTTGGTTTTAACTTGTGGTTATTGATGGTTGAAGATTGAGGATTTGAAGTTGAAGAAGGATTTGATTGAAGGAGGTTGAGATTTTGAGGGTTTTACGAAGTTTGTAGTTTTCTTGGTTTGGGGTTACTTGGGAAACAGATTCATGGTTTGGGGTTACATTAGGTTATCTCGGGGATGTGCTGGAGATGCGACATGCTTTTGGAAACAAAACCAGATGCTGATACTCCCGCGATGGTGTGCGAAGACGACATGATTGCTGCTTTGAAATTTCGTCAAAAGGAAGCGTGTCGACCCTCAACATCTACTTTCTGCCATCATTCACGGTGAAAACTGGGTGTCTTTGACAGGTACACAATGTTGTAATCGCTTTCGTATTATCTGTTCTTCTTTGACTTAGTTCGAAAAGTTGAGACCGAAAATCTTTCCCCTGCCGCAGGTTTTAGAAGAGAGCCTGAAGCTGTCCTTACGCGATTCCAACATCCTGAGGTCTTTTCTTTCTCTGATATTCTTTGAGAGTGACTTAAAATGGTTTTCACTCCTCCTAAGGTAATTCCAAGTTAGTGTGTATGTTACTATGTATATAATCTTATTTTCTTCTTTTGCATGGTTTCATGCAGTAGTTTTTGACAATGTTAACACAATTCAAATATGTGATTAATTTGTGGTTTTCATAATTGCAGATAATTCAATCAGAACAAAAAGGGGTGGATAACGACCCTGCCAGTCGAGCCAAATGGTGGTACTCGACTTTCCACACGGTGACAGCCATGATAAGTGTTGGTGTTCTCAGTTTGCCATATGCCATGGCCTATCTAGGATGGTAACTTGAATGAAGTAGTTTCAACCAACAACTGAACCTGACAAACTGACACTTGGAGAGATATGGAGCATGACTGAGGGAAACAAAAATGCATTAGATCCATTTGGCTAGTGAATATCTGAGTTTTTTTTTGTTTTGGTTAAATTATGATGGATTAAAATGATGAATATATAGCTGACATATATGCATGATGATGATGAATGTTTGTAGGATTACAGGTAAATTGGAATGGGGGGTTCTGTATTATATTGCTAAGGAGGAATGTGGTTTTTTGGCTAAAGAAGCGGTTAGAAGATGCTATGATGGTAGCTTATTTGAGTACTGTGCTAAATAATTGGTGATGGAACTGAAGGAAATTCATAATGCTTATATTGGAGTAGAATGATTGATTGGAAGAATGTACACCTTCTGTTATATATGTTGTCTGTGTGGTTTCAAGATGCTTTAAGGTAGGTTTCCGTTTAGATCTTCAGTATAATCGTAGTTGACAAACATTTGTACTATCGTTGTTTCATTCATTCTTAAATGCTTATTGACGAATTCTGTGACTGATTAACGAATGAAATTAACAGAACCATGAGTGAGTTTTGATTAACAAAGAATAAATGTTGAACTCATAAGTCACAAGCAGCTAATCAAGCTTCATTTCCGGATTGTTTTTGCAGACAAACCGAACAACTGCACGGATTTTCCCAGCTGTTCTTGATGTTGAGAACCTAGAGTTTAAGCGTAAGTTGGATCGGATGGTGGTGATAAACCAGAAGATTCTTGCTATTGGTGAGAGTGATGACTCAAGAGGAATTGTTTGAACTTATTCCCAAAATTCAGAGAGAAGACTCAAGAGGAATTGTTTGAACTTATTCCCAAAATTCAGGTGCTTCGCATTTTCTATATACATAATAATATCTCTGATTGATGTTGTTTCTGTTTCTGAATTCAGCTATGGTTAATTTGTCGATGCTTTCAATAACTCAGTTTTGTTTCAGGTTATGGCTAGATCATCACCTTTAGACAAACATACATTGGTGAGACAGCTACGTACAATATTCAGGGAAGTTTTAGTTGTAACCGGTGATGGAACAAATGATGCTCCGGCGCTTCATGAAGCCGACATCGGACTTGCAATGGGAATTTAAATATCATCATTTTTAAAGCTGTTTTATTTTGGAGATACATGTATATGATAAGAGCAGTTGGTTGGTCTCTTACAGTGATGTTCCCAAGTTTCGTAGAAGTGTAATTTTTCCCAGTATGTTTCCTTCTGGCAAAGGAAACCATGATCTTGATAATGGTAATTGTAATGTTGACATGGAAGATGACATTACTAGTGTAGAAAATGGAAAAACTAAAGATGGTGTTGAAGCACTAGAGAATCCTGTGACATCCGAGTCTGCTGATGAAGTTTCGGTTTTTCCTCTAGAGCATTGCATGAGGATATTGCCTCATGATCAGAACACCGGGGCCTTCTTTATTGTTGTGCTGCAGAAAGTTTCTCCTTTGCCAGGTAGTCTCATATATAATAACATCCCTTTATCTCTCTCTAAGCTGCAGTTTCTACTTTATCATTTTACCTGGACTTTTGCTCATGATATGGTTTTTGTTCTTGCAGCTATTACGGAAAACCCTAGCAAACAAATTGATGAACAAAATGTAGAACCACCAAACCAGAGTCTTGAGAATGCACAAGCACCACAGATCAATTCATCTGACAGTATAATTGAAGAAGTCGTCAAAGCAGTTCCAGAGGAAAATATGATTGACAATGTATCTAATACAGAAGATTTGGAAGTTAGTCCTCTTACACGTGAAGAACAGAACTCTGAGGAAACTGAAGTGCCACATAATACACAGGACATGGAAAAGAAGGCTCCAGGAAAACGAAAGCTACAACTTCAAGGACAATGGAGAGGTGTTGACCCTGTTGTCTTTTTTAAAGATGCCATAAGAGACGATGTTCACATTATATCTTTATCTCTTGGTCCTCAATCTCCTCAAGGCGACTATTTCAATGATGCCATATCTGTGGCGTCTTTCCATGCTGCTAGACATGGAATTCTTGTAGTAGCATCAGCTGGAAATGAAGGAACTCGTGGCTCTGCAACAAACTTTGCACCATGGATCATCATTATTGCTGCTAGCTCAACAGATAGGGATTTCACCTCTGATATCATATTAGGAAATGGTGCTAACATCAAGGTAAACACAGATACGGTATTTAAACATAAATTCTAATATGTAACTCTAGGGTTGGAAAATAGAAAGACACTGCAATAACTCTTGCAGTCTGAGACGTAAGCTATGATTGATTGTAATTGTTTGACAAGTTAGTAAACTATCATTAAAACAATATAAGGATTTACTGCTCTAACAAACTGATTCTTAGAATTTATGCATTTATATACAGTTTGTAATCACAAATATTTAGTGAGAAACATAAATATTTATATTCAGTGTTTATATGCATTTATATACAGTTTATATTCAGTGAGACTGCGCCGACTCCATCGTCGGCTCCGACTCCATCGTTGGCTCCGACTCCCTCGGTTGCTTTGACTCCATCACCTGCTCCGAATCCATTTTCAGTGCGGGTTGCACCGGTCCCGCGGACTGCACCCATTTTGCGGACTACGCTTGTGCCGTAGGCTGTACCACCATTGCAAACTACATTCATCTGCACCTAGGTTTTTTGTCGACTTATAAAGTTTGAACTTTAGCCTCGGTCAGTCCCAAGCTATTTTTGTTTTTTGACACGGCTTCACCAAGGCTAAAATGCACGTGAGCTTATGGAGTTTGACTTTAGTTTCGGTCAGGCCCAGACTATTTTTTGTTTTTTTGACACGGCTTTGCCGAGGCTAATGCAGACACGGCTTAACCGAGGCTAAATTAGACACGACTTAACCGAGGCTACATTTATCCACGACTCTTCTTGCTGAGGCTAAATATTAGCTTCGATCGTTTTAGCCTATCCCCGACACCGACGCTAGGCCGAGGCTAAATGACTAGTAGCGACGGTTTTTTGCCTTATAGTGTCGGGAAATGGCCGAGGCTAAATATAGCATTTCTAGTAGTGGTCGTTGACACCTATTACTAGGCACCTCTCTAGACATACTCACACTTGTTATATTATTCTAAACAGTAATCACTGAACTAGACGATGGTAAAATAATAATGAATGATCAAATCGAATGAGAATGATGTATTTTACTTTTGCTTATATGACTTTTGTAAGATGAATAAGGTTTTTGTTTTGTAATCTTTGTATCAAAGGGTGAACATACTTGCATCAATATTTTTCTTCTTTTATCTGTTTCAGTTCACTACTTTTATATGTTTTGGACCTATATAATTGGCATAAGATAAATCTTTTTTTAGTTATTTTTATTGATGAATCAATTTTATTTCCAGTGCCCATAATTATCTTGTTTGTTATGACACTTCATTATTCGTGGGGGTTAAGTGTTCCTCGGTTGAGATCGAAACTTACTTCCTTTTGGATGTTCATCATATTTTGATGACCTTAAAAATTTGTAATATGGACGTTTCCGACCTAATCCAAGCTTCAGCCTTGTGTGGCGGGTGAATCGTTTGCAAATGACATTTCTTCTCCCAAGTGGAAAGTCAGATAGTGAGGTTATTTTGTCATCGATAATGACTTTGATATCATATTTTCCTTTTCATACTTGTCGTTTTATTCTTTCTGCCTCTAACAAGACGTCATTTCATCTTCGTTTGTCATCCTTTAAAAAATTGGTCAGAGTTTTGAAAATAACATAATTGTTACAAAGAAAAAAAATATATTTATTTGATCCAAAATGATAATGTTTTATATGACTAAAGTTATCAATGCTTAACATATATTAAAACATAATAAAGAATGATATCTTTAGGACTCCCATTGTTTTGGAGCAGTTTGATCTTTGAATCCCAAATGTCCTTTTAAATTATTGCCCTAAATGTCTTTCAATTAAACAATGATTTTTTTTTGAGATATTTTGCTTTTGCTTTCCTTTTCCTTTGTCCCTTATTCTCAGCTCTTTAGGACCTTTCTTATATTTTAATGGAGCTTGAGCAAAATAAATTGCTTTTGTAATTCAAAATATTTAATTAGTTATGTTGGTAACTTTTTAGAATTAGTTATGTTTTTTTAACATAAAAGGTTTAATAATTATGGTTTTTGTTCAAAAAAATTTAAAAGAAATTATTGTCTAAATATTACTTGAAGGGTTCAATTTTATAAAAAGAAATTAGTGTCTAAATATTACTTGAAGTGCATTAATTACTTTTTATACCTTCTCATTCATTTCTTTCTCAATCTTCTCAAAAGTGGATAAAATTATTAGTTATGGGACTCACCATTTTTACTTTCTCTTCTCAACTTCTCACCTTACCAATGAGAAAAAGTTGATTATTTTATTTTATTTCTATCTTCTCTTACCAACTTCTCTAAAACCAATAGTTTATGTGAGAAAGATGTGGTTTTAGTTTTAGCCTAATCAAGAAGCCAAAGACAGTTCAACATACATATATATTGCTCTAAAGTACTGCCAACGCTTACCTAGCAACCAACAACTCACTATCACACCTAATATAATAATGGAAAGTGCACTTACAACTTCTCTGTATTTCCTTGCCATGTCAATGGAAGTTGTTGTAAATTCCTTGCTTGATCCTCTAGAACAGTGGAGCCAACAAACAAAGTTGAAACTGGCCCCATGATGTATGTATATTAATCATTGTGTCAGTTAGTGTTGAGAATGGATATAAGTATATATTTCATGCAATATATTATTCTACGATATTATTGAAGCTTTAAAAATATTCAAAAGAATTGAAGAGACGTAGTATTGAAGTTATACGAAAGAAAAGTCCAGATTAATCATAAAAATAAGACTATAACCTAAAAAGAAACTTATACAAATAATAAATCATTGCTTATTCTTATATAATTAATTTAGAAGGCTTGAGTCAAAATTTTAATGTTATTTATATTATTCTTATATATTAATTTAGAACGCTTGAGTCAAAATTTTAATGTTATTTATACAAATACTGCTTATTTTCTTATATATTAATTTATAATGTTTAATCAAAATTTAAGTTAATGAACGTACTTATAAATTTTTTAAAAGCGGAATAAAACATATAAATAATAAAAGAGTTGGAGGTAAATCCTACAATTAAACAAAAATTATAAAAGATACAAAATGTGTTAAAATAAAGAAATACACTCGGTCAAAATATGAAGAGGAGAAAAAAATATAACAACAAAACCGCAACTAAGGAGCACGCATTAGGAGAAAACTCTAGAAAGAGCACCACTCACTGAAATACCGCCCAACAAGAAACTCGCTAGAGCTCAGACGTCCATACCCATCAACAAGAGAGCGAGAAACTTCTAGCAAAACCAAATTTGTTGAACTCTATTGGAGTAGGTTTGAATTTTTGATCTGCTATCAGTCTCGACACATGATAGGGTTCTGAAGCCAATTAGAGAAGGATCTTGAATTCAATAAAGACATGCTTAGAAACTAATTTCAAGCAAAAAAAATACTCTCCTCTTCCGACTCTTTCACATTTTTCGATAAATTAGAAAATAACTTATCATTACGAACCGACCAAATGGTCTACACCACAACATGTCAAATCATAGAATAATCTCCCATCCTTTTAATCTTAGAACTTAAAGATATAAAAAAAAATCTAAAAAAAGTATCCTAGGTTCCCAAGGAACAACCGCATGAAAATCCAACCACTTAAAGATTCTATACCATACAACATAAGATAAACCACAAGTGATAAACAAATAAGAGACATATTTTAGATAATTCCCACACAAAACACAGGAAAGATCATCCAAATCAACAATAACATTGTACTTGAACAAAATCTCTCTAGATGAAAACCTATACAATAATAGTTTCCAGGAGAAAACCACAACCTCATAGGAGGAACCTAACTATCCCAAATATGAGAAAGCCCTGAGATATGCCTCACAAGGTTGGACTCTAGCAGGGGATTTGCCTCTACTTCGATTGAGTATGCATATATCATCGAGGAGACCATACCCGACCCTCTTAACCAACCCCACGCTCAAACCAATTAGGAGGATCATCTTTTTTGGGCCCAAGGAGGGAGATTTCTCTCCACCACAGGGACAATGAACGAAGGCCTAAGTCCCTACCCCCACATAAGGTGGTGACTAAGGAAACACCATATATGGAAGCAAAAACATCAAACCAAAGGCTATAAGTATTCGACAAGATCCTTCACCTCTTTTTGACTAAAGAGCTACATTAACCAGTCAGAGATCTTACACAACCAATCCTCATTCTACTTAAATTTACAAATACCATACATTTCACCCAGGAAACCTTTTCCTCATTTTCATCCAGATCATCCTTTGCTGATTTTGGAGGAGGTTGTTGAGTATAGTGTTGGAAGAAGGAGGTAGGATGGATGTTAACATCTTTAATTTATTTTCGTGCTCTTGACGATGCTTTTTGAGGTAGTGGAATAAGCTCCCCATTTTTAATTCGGAACCTCGTTTAGCTTAGAGTGCTTTTTCCTATTCCCGAGTGTCTGGTATCCTCCTTCTCTAAATCGTAGCCTATATGCACCAAGATTTTCATGACTAGTTCACTATATGGTAGAAGCGTGCTTTTCTTTTTGCTCTTCACCATATGATGGATCATGATGTCAACCCAATTTTTTATCAATTCTATTTTCTAAAAATCAAACCGGATCTATGTCGAATTTGTTTATGTGACTTGAGTTGCTTTTGCTTGGGAAAAGAACATGATTCACCATATAGTGAATTAAACAAATATCCAGACATATTATGCCAACGGTGAAGGGAGTGGAAATGATATAGGTTCAATCAGTCAAAAAAGAAATAGCGGAAGCATCACATTTAAAGTTGTTACCTTCTTCAGTGTCATCATACTCGAAGTTGATATATGAAAGATGTCAAATTTGTGTGAATTCTTAAAGGCTTAGTTGGATTGGAAGCTTCTTTACTTCGAAGATGAGGGTTCCATTTACATGATTAAAGTTGGCATATAATCACTACAAGAAAAGTTGTGTCCAGCCACGTGATTTAGTGAAGTGAAAATCACGTGGCAAAATATTGACAGTTGTGAAGTGATTTTCACGTCACTAACCTGTTTAATATTAAAATAATATGAAACAAATATAGCACATTGCCTGTCAGATTTAAAAATTAAAAAAAACTTTAGTGACGAGAAAATCACGTCGCAGCATGTAAATTAAAAAAAAAAATAACTAAAACGACAGATCTATTGAAGCAGGAAGGGGAAAATTTTCAAAATTTGGTTTGCCACGTGAATATCACGTCGCAACCATTTAAGAGGGAAAAATATCTGACTTAGAAGTGATGGTTGACTGTGTTGCAGGTTGTAAAAATGACCGTTGAAACTTTTGCGACGTGAATATCACGTGGCAAAGTTGCGAAGTGATATTCACGTCGCTACGCAATTAATGTGAATAATTAAATATTAGCCGTTATATGTTGCGACGTGAAATTCACGTCACTAAGATTTTATTTATGGCACGCGTGAAAATTTCCCAGACCACACTTATTCCACTTCTTTTTCTTTCTCTCTCTCCGTTGCTTCTTCTTCTTCTCCAAATTGTTGGTGCAAAGGTGAATAAATGATGAACAGAGGGAATATTCTATTAAGAATGACAGCTACAAAAACATGATTAAAGTTACAATAATTGTCACCCTATTTATAAGCAAAAACTAGGGTTACTAGAATAAGATAAAATACTAAAATTCCCTCTAACAAACTTAGGGGTTAAGAAAATAGTACAACTAAATAAATATGAATTACTATTAATATTCTAATACCATCCCTTAATTCATATTCCATCAAAACTTGTAACACCAATTTTATCCCTTAGTCTGAGAAATTGATCAGTCTTGACAGCTTTCGTCAGAACATCTGCCAACTGCTTCTGAGTGCTGCAGTGTACAACTTCTAACACTCCACTCTAAACTTGATGTCTCAGAAAATGATACTTGGTCTCAATATGCTTGCTTCTCCCATGCAACACTGGGTTTCTGGCAAGATTGATTGCAGACTTGTTGTCAATCATCAACTTCAGAGGTTTGTCTACTTTAATCTTCAGATCCTGCAACAGATTCAGAATCCACACAGCTTGGCATGCAGTAACAGCACCTGCAATGTATTCAGCTTCACAGGTTGACAACGCCACAACAGGTTGCTTCTTGGAACACCAAGAAATGGAACCTCCCAGAAATTTGAACAAGTACCCAAATGTACTTCTTCTGTCAACTCTGTCTCCACACCAATCAGAGTCTGAATAACTCAGAAGTTCTGACTCATTATTTCCTCCAGAGGGAAATAACACTCCATACTTCAGAGTTCTTTTGATATACCTCAGAATCCTGACAGCAGCTTGGTAATGGGACCACTTAGGTTTACTCATGAACCTACTAACCATCCCAACTGAGTAGCAAATATCAGGTCTGGTATTGCACAAATACCTCAGAGAACCAACCAACTGTTTGAAGGTTGTAGCGTCCACATCCTTTCCTTCAGAGTCTGAATCCAGTTTCTGATTTGTATCAGATGGTGTGACAGCCATCTTACAATTCTTCAGATCAAATCTCTTCAGAAGTTCTAATTCATACTTGAGCTGATGCAAAATGATACCTTTCTCAGAATATTTGAACTCCATCCCTAGAAAGTAGGTCATTTTGCCTAGATCAGTCATTTCAAATTCATTCATTAGAACCTTCTTGAACTTGGCTACCTCCTGTTCAGAACTTCCAGTCAGCAGTATATCATCAACATATAAACATACCAGAGTCATATTGCCTTCAGAAGTATGCTGAACATAGACACCGTACTTGAAAGCCTTGCTTCTTGAAAAATGAATCAATCTTCTGATTCCAAGCTCTGGGCGCTTGTTTCAATCCATATATAGCTTTGTATAATCTGTACACCATCCCTTCCTGATTCTTTTTCACAAATCCAGGAGGTTGTGATACGTAAACTTCTTCTTCTAATGGACCGTTCAGAAACGCAGATTTTACATCTAAATGCATCAGAGGCCAATTCCTGTTAGCAGCTATTGCAATCACCATTCTGATTGTTTCATGTCTTGCTACAGGTGCAAACATTTCAGAGTAATCCAGCCCAGGTTTTTGTAGAAATCCTCTGGCTACCAACCTTGCTTTATGTTTGCCAATTGAGCCATCTAGCTTTAACTTCTGCTTGAAAACCCATATGACGCTGATGGCTTTCTTGTCTTTTGGAAGTTCTGTCAGCTTCCAAGTCTTGTTTCTCTCTATAGCATCAAGTTCTTCTTTCATGGCCTTCAGCCAGAGCTTCTGCTTAAGAGCATCCTCTGTACTTATAGGTTCAGAGTCTACTAACATGGCACACTGAATAACTTCTCCTTCAGAGTCTACTTCAGTGTCTTGCAGCATGTCAAATTCTGCAAATCTTCTGGGAATGCTTCTGATTCTTTGTGGTCTCTGAACTTGTTCAGAGTCTTGAGCTTCAGAGTTTCCAGCTTTAGATGGTTGACTTCCTCTAGAGCTTTGACCATCTTCAAGATCTGGCATATTTTTAGAGTCTTGGCCATCTTCAGAGTCTGAATTTCCACCAGAATCTGGATTACCATCAGAGTCTGGATCATCAGAGCCACCTTCATCTTCTGAGTCTTCTCCAGAGTCAGAATCACTATCAGAGTCAGAATCAACGTCAGAGTTTACTTCAACTTCAGAAATTCTTAACTCTGACCTTTCTTCAGAAGTTCTAACATCAGAATCAGATTGAGACTTATCCCAATTCCAAGCTTTTGATTCCTTCACAATCACATCTCTGCTGAATTCAATTCTATTGGTTTCTGGACAATAGAGCTTGTATGCACATGTACTATGGTACACTATCAGAATCATCACTTTGCTTCTATCATCCAGCTTCTGTCTTCTGGCTTCTGGAACATGTTTATAGCAAACAGAACCAAACACCTTCAGATGACTAACACTTTGCTTGTCTCCAGTCCACTTCTGTATAGGAACTATTTCCTTCAACTTCTTCATAGGACATCTGTTGAGTACATACGTTGCAGTGGCAACAGCTTCTCCCCAGAGCTTCTGAGGAAGCTTCTTCTCCTTTAGCATGCTTCTCACCATATCAAGCAAAGTGTGGTTTCTTCTTTCAGCAAGACCATTGTGTTGAGGGGTATAAGGAGCAGTAACCTCATGCTCAATTCCATTCTCCTCACAGAACTTCTGGAACTCTTTGGAGTTATACTCACCTCCACCGTCAGTTCTAAGAATCTTCAACTTCTGACCACTCTGATTCTCAGCCTTCATTCTGAATTTCTTGAATTCATCAAACACCTCGTGTTTGAACTTAATAAGGGATACCCATGTCATTCTTGTGAATTCATCAACAAATAACACAAAGTATTTATTCCCTCCAATTGATACTACTGGAAATGGACCACACACATCAGAATGTACAACTCCCAAGGCATGTTTTGCTCTTGGAGCAACTTCTGACGCAAATGACAAATGTGGTTGTTTTCCTTCCATGCAAACTTTGCATGACTTCTCAGGCTTCTTAATTGCAGGAATTCCATGTACCAGCTTCTTTGAATTCAGATGTTTTAGGCTTCTGAAATTCAAATGACCAAATCTTCTGTGCCACAGCTCATTCTCCTTCTCAGCACATGTTGCACTAAGACATTCTGAGTCTGCAGTTCTGACATTCACCTTGAATGTTCTATTCCTTCCCTGTTCTGACTCCATAATCAACTTATGATTGTAGTCATACAGCTTCAGAAGATTGTCCTTCATGGTAACTGAAAAACCTTTCTCAATTAATTGTCCCACACTCATCAGATTGCTTCTGATGCCAGGTACATACCACACGTTCTGAATCAATGCTGTTTTCCCATTGTTCAGAGTCACTCTGACATTTCCCATACCTTCTGCATTAAGATATTTGTCATCAGCACATCTGATCTTTGTCCTTTTTTCAGAGTCAAAGTCAACCAGCCATTTCTTGTTTTCAGTAAGATGATTTGAACAGCCAGTGTCCATATACCACCAGTCTGTCAGATCCATATCATCAGATTCAGAGGCCATCAATAGCACAGATTCGTCATCAGAACTTCTGGCTATATTTGCTTCTTCTGATTTCTTCTCCTTGTTTGACCAACAATCTCTAGCAAAGTGACCAAACTTCTTACAACAGTAACATTGGATCTTCTTCTTGTCATACTTCTCTTTTCCCTTCTGAGCATTCTTTTGCCTATCAGAGATTGAGCTTTCTGACTTCTGACCACCATCAGATCTTCTCTTGGCTTCTGACTGCTTCTGATACCTCCTATCAGAAGTTGCTTTCAGAGCCTGCTGCTCTACTTCCCTTTCAGAAGTTCTCTCAGTCAAACGCAACTCTTGCGCTTCTAAACTGCTCTGCAGCTCTTCAATTCTCATGGTACTCAGATCTTTGGAATGTTCTATTGCTACCACAATGTAATCAAATTGAGAGGTAAGGGATCTCAATACCTTCTCCATGATCGTTTCTTCAAAAAGAGTTTCTCCACACGCCTTCATCTCATTAGTGATCAGAATCACTCTGGAGATATATTCAGAAACTTTCTCATTATTCTTCATGTTGAGATTCTCATATTGCTTTCTCAAGGACTGAAGCTTTACCTTCTTCACTGATGCGTCACCACCATAACATCTGACCAGTGTGTCCCACACAGCCTTTGCTGTCGTTGAATCTGCAATCTTCTCAAACACATTTACATCAACACATTGATGAATAAAGAATAATGCTTTCTGATCCTTCTTCCTTACTTCCTTCTGCGCGTTTTTCTGTTCATCCGTTGCATCTGCTGCTACCGGAACATAACCATCAGTGACAAGATCTAAAACATCTTGAGCACCAAACAATACACGCATTTGGATCATCCAACGATTCCAGTTTTTACCGTCAAATACTGGAAGCTTGGTGTTCATGTTGCCGTTTCCGTTCATCTTCACCTTGCACAATACACTCAGATTTCTCACACAGTGTTTCCCAACCCACAGAATAAAATTCTGATCAGATTTTGTTCAAGATTCAACACGAATCTAAGAATCAAAATCAAACACACAAGACCTCATGTTCACTCGTGTTTCCCGTGTTTCCCAATGAATCCGAACCGAGCTCTAGATACCAATTGTTGGTGCAAAGGTGAATAAATGATGAACAGAGGGAATATTCTATTAAGAATGACGGCTACAAAAACATGATTAAAGTTACAATAATTGTCACCCTATTTATAAGCTAAAACTAGGGTTACTAGAATAAGATAAAATACTAAAATACCCTCTAACAAACTTAGGGGCTAAGAAAATAGTACAACTAAATAAATATGAATTACTATTAATATTCTAATACAAATTTCTTCTCCTTTGTTCTTCTTCTTACAAAAAATTTCTTTATTTTTCTGAAGTTGTTTCTTGATTTTGCTTGTATAGGTAATATATTTTTCCTTTCATATAGTTATTGTTGAATTTTATTTTTATTAATTTAGTTTTAAATGTAATTTTATATGGGTTTAATATTTATTTATTTTTGTTGTCAAATTATCATTGTTAGTGAGAAAAGGAAACAAGGAGGTTGAAGAAGATTGAAGGAGTGTGAAGAAGAGGTATTTTTGCTATTTTATTTTTTATTTTAGTTTGATTTATTAATGTTGGATTGTTGTTAGATGAATAATTTTTTGTATGTTTATATTATTATTATTATTTATTATTAAAAAACAAATTTTGTAGAAATATTATTAATAATAAAACGAAATATTATTATTATTTATTATTAAAAAATAAATTTTGTAGAAACATTATTAACAATAAAACAAATTTTTGTTTATAAATGAGAGAAGTGAGAAAAGGAAAGAAATTTTTATATACAGTAACAATATTAAAAACTGAATATTTATAGAAAATTGAATATTAAAACGAATTTTGTAGAAACATTATTAACAATAAAACAAATTTTTGTTTATAAATGAGAGGAGTGAGAAATGGAAAGAAATTTTTATATATAGTAACAATATTAAAAACTGAATATTAACAATATTTTTAATTTTTATGTGTTATTAAATTCATTTATGTTTTATTACTTTAAAAACTGAATATTAAAAACTAAATATCTTATTTTTAATCTTTTATAGAAATAATATTATATTTATATTATTATTATTATTTGTTATTAAAAATAGATTTTTGTTATTAGAAATAGAATAATATATTTAGAAATAAAATATTAAAAACAGAAATATATTATTTTTAATGTTTTATTTATTTTTTGGTTATAAAATATTAAAAACAGAATATTAATAAAATATAAAAACAGAGTATTAAATTTATTTTTAATGTTTTATTATTTTAATATTTATGTGTACTAAAAACAAATTTTTATATATAGTAAGAATATTAAAAACTGAATATTAACAATATTTTTAATTTTTATGTGTTATTAAATTTATTTATGTTTTATTACTTTAAAAACTAAATATTAAAAACCAAATATCTTATATTTAATATTTTATAGAAACAATATTATATTTATATTATTATTGTTATTTGTTATTAAAAACAGATTTTTGTTATTAAAAACAAATTTTTATATATAGTATAAAATTATATATTAAAAACTGAATATTAAAAATCAAATATATTATTTTTAATGTTTTATTTTTATTTGGTTATATTTACATTAGAAACAATATTATACTTATATTATTATTATTTGTAATTAAAAAAAGATTTTTGTTAGTATGTGTTATTAAAAACAAATTTTAATATATAAAATAAATTTATAACCTTTAAAAACTAAATATTAAAAACTAAATATATTATTTTTAATGTTTTCTTTTTATTTGGTTATATTTACATTAGAAACAATATTATATTTATATTATTATTATTTGTTATTAAAAAAATTGTTATATTTTTGTTTATTATATAATATTTTTGTTATTAAAAAAACATTTTTATATATGTATAAATTTATATATTAAAATTATATATGTTTAATAGGATATATAGAATAAATCTTTAATAGTTTATGTTTAATAATATATAGCATGTGTAATAGTTAAAATAAAAATATATATATATTTAAGAAGAATATATATTAAATAGTTTTAATTTGTAATAGTTATTGTTTAATAGTAATTTTTGGTTAATATAAGTTTATGTTAAGAATAATAATAAGTTTCTTAATACTTGTATTTAATATTTTATAAAAATAATGATGGTATAAATATGCAATATGGAATATTATAGGTACTATCGTAGTTGGATGTACGATAGGTTGTATCCAGGAAGACGCGGACTTAAACCAAATTTTGAGGGGGGGGGGGGGGGGGGGGGGGGGGAGGGGGGTGTTAAAGGGTTTATCACGTGGGCATTTTCTCAGCAATGTTGTCGAAGCGAAGGAGGAGTTAGATGTCCTTGTCTTAAATGTGGATGCAGACCTATAATTAGTGACCCAGAGGAAGTAGAACGACATTTGAAGAGAAGGGGTTTCATTGAAAATTATTGGGTTTGGACATATAATGGAGAAGAACTGCCGAGTAGTGTACCAGTAATACACATGCTTCAAGTAGTCAATCACCGATGGAACATAGGGAAAACTTTAATCTGATCAGTGAGATGGTGGGCGATGCTTTTGGTGTGAATGTGACCTATGACGAACCTGAAGATTTTGATGGGGAAGAGTTGTCGAATGAGGAAACGCAAAAATTCTATTAGTTGCTGAATGAGATGAATACGTCGTTGTTTGAGGGGTCGTCAGACTCAAAGTTATCAATGTGTGTGAGATTATTGGCTGCCAAATCAAATTGGAATGTTCCTGATCAGTGTTTGGAATTCTTCGCAAAAATGATGCTCGACTCGACTCCTACAAAAGACAACTTGCCTACAAGTTTTTATGATGCAAAGAGGTTGGTCTCGAAGTTGGGTTTATAAGTAAGAAAGATTGACTATTGCATTAGTGGTTGCATGCTGTTAATGATGGAGCGTTGGAGGAATGTAAGTTCTGTAAGAGTCCAAGATATAAAGTTCGTAGTAAAGCCATTGACCGTAAGCAAAAAAGTGTAGTAGTGAAGTCCATGTTTTATCTTTCGATAATACCAAGGTTGAAAAGAATGTTTACTTCAATGCACATTGCAAGTCAAATGACATGGAATCATACAAACAAAATAAGTTCAGGCACTATGCGACATCCATCTGATGGCGAGGCATGGAAGCACTTTGATCGCATACATCCTGATTTCGCTGCATAACCTAGAAATGTGAGGCTTGGATTATGCTCTGATGGTTTTACTCCATATGTCCAAGCGTCTGGAAGTGGGTATTCTTGTTGGCCAGTTATTGTAACCCCTTACAACCTCCCTCCTGAGATGTGCATGACAAAACCATAGATGTTTTTGACCTGTATCATTCCAGAACCATCAAGTCCAAAAGCCGGAATCGATGTGTACTTACAACCTTTAATTGATGATTTGAAGAGGTTGTGGATTGGAGAATGGACTTATGATATATCAAGTAAACAAAATTTACTATGCGAGCTGCCTTGATGTGGACTATTAACGACTTTCCAGCATATGGCATGTTGTCTGGATGGGGTACGCATGGAAAAATGGGATGTTCGCATTGCATGGGGAATACCAAGGCATTTATGTTGGAAAAGGGGGGAGGGGGGAAGTTCGTGGTTTGACTGTCATCGTAGATTTCTACCAAGAAATCATCCCTATAGAAGAAACAAGACTGATTTCAAAAAAGATGAACGAGTAACAAATTTTCCTCCGCCTCGATTGTCACCAGGTGAAGTATGGAACCAAATTTGTGAACTACCAAAATTCACAGATATTGGTAAAACATGTAGAATTCAAGGATATGGGGTCACACACAATTGGACAAAAAAAAAGTATATTTTGGGACCTCCCATATTGGAAAGATAATTTATTGCGCCATAATCTTGATGTTATACATATTGAGAAGAATTTTTTTGATAATGTATTTAACACGGTGATGGATGTTAAAGACAAAACTAAAGATAATGAGAAGGCTAGACTAGACATGGAAATTTGATGTAATCGAAAAGAGTTGGAGTTGAAGCGCCAACCAAATGGAAAATTGTTAAAACCCAAGGCGAATTACAGTCTAACTTCCCAAGAAGCTAAAGCGGTTTTTCGATGGTTAAAAGAATTGAGAATGCCTGATGGTTATGCTTCAAATTTGGCAAGGTGTGCCGACGTTAACACTGGGAAGTTGCATGGTATGAAAAGTCATTATTGCCATGTTTTTATGGAACAATTGCTTCCAATTGTGCTTGGTTCACTACCCAATCACGTGCTTAATCCACTAATTGAAATTAGTCAATGTTTTAGAGATATTTGTGCATCAACTTTAATAGTGGATGACATTGTTAAGTTGGACCGAAATATTCCAGTCATTCTCTGTAAGTTGGAACAAGTATTTCCGCTTGGTTTTTTTTTTACTCTATGGAACATCTACCTGTGCACCTTGCATATGAAGCTTTTCTTGGTGGCTCGGTTCAATATAGGTGGATGTATCCTTTTGAAAGGTTCATGGGTGATTCAAAGCGATTAGTGAAAAATAAAGCTAAAGTTGAAGGATCAATATGTGCACATTACTTGCATCGAGAAACATCTCATTTTTGCAGTCACTATTTCAATCACTTGATGTTAACTCCAAGAATCATAAGGAATCCTATAAATTTTAATGAAAGAAGTCAATTTACCTTATCAGGCTTCGGGCTTCCTGGTCGTCCTTCTGGAAAGAAGGGTGTGCATTGGCTGACTCAAAAATAAATGCAATCAGCACATGTTCATGTCTTAATTAACTGCGTTGAAGTTAAACCATATCTTGAGTAAGTATATCCCAACTGTTTAATATTATTTACCGTATTAATACACAAATTATTACCTTGAAACTTATAGTGTGTTTCTTTATAGGGA